TGGGATAATTGCTAGTTAAGTCAGCTTCCTTTCTTTAAGGTCCATCAGTATCACATTTTATACCTGTTACCTGCTAGATTTCTGGTCCTTTTCCCTATCCCCCTCCCCCAATACCTCATGTCTCTTGTCCCGTCTGTTTTATTCCTTATTATTTGTTAGTAAGTCTTAGAAATTGGAAATCTTCGTCTATTTTGGCAGCTCCAGCTTATGCTATATATCTGTTCTCACGGGGTGGTCTACCCTGTTTGTATGATGTCTCCTTATTATATCCTTGTATGGCCAATGGACTTTCCATAAAAACAAACAAAAAAACATTTTGTGTATAGCAGTAGATAATAATCTTTACAAGCTGCTGAAGTTAGCATGGCATTCATGCAAATTATGCTAATTAATGTCTTGCAAGCAAGATGACATACATACAAGGTGAGGCTCAAACCATAACAAGTTTGAATAATCTCTTCATGTCCTCTTGTGGTCAAAGTTGAAACTGAGCATATCCTTTTTTTGTAAGAACAGAAAGTTAGTTGATCAAATATTAATTATAGCTAAATCACATCTGCAGCAAAATCGTGCATATTATTCAGTCTGTCCTGGGGGGAGAGTGAAAGTCATCACAGTACTTTTTAACATAGTTTAATTCTTTCCATTTTCCAGTGCTAACTTTCAAATTCAGGTAGTGTCAGATTTATTTTTTTACATGGAAAGCCAAAAAAATAATGCCTTTTATAAAGCAAGACTCCTAATATATTTTTGGAAAAATAAAAGTAAAACCTGTTTAATTCACCAGGCTAGGAACTGCAATGCAATGTTCTGTTAGATAGTTTTAATGAGACATTAATTAGTATTATTATAGCACGGCAGCAATCATAGAAAATAATGGTGGTTTTGACTGCTTTTCCCAGAAATATATAGATGTTACACTGGGACTTCTTTGATGTTGTTTATGATAGGTTTCTGCACTGCTTAGCTCTGACAAGGTACATATATCAATGATCTCAGAGGTACAGTAGGTCACCTGACAATTTCTTATATCACCAGGACTCTATTTATGAGATATCTGTACATGAGTTTCTGAAACTGAACACCTGCTGTGGCTATGATGATGGGTTTCCAATCCCAGTGCTGGACTTTATTTTTGTATGTTATAAATGCAACAGGAAATGCTGGAAAGGTGATTGGGAATTACCTATACTGCCAAATGAATAGGTACAAATTCAGGAATTGTGATGGGAGATGTGGCTGTTAGAGTAACCAAGACATAGGAAGCCATCAGCTGACTTAGCCTCCTAAAAGGTAGATGAACGAGCGCTAGAAATGTATGGTTAGCAGCTTGCATAAAAGGTTAAACCTCCAACCCTTGTAAACAATAATATCCAACAGTGCAGCGCTCAGATGAAATAATCTCCTTTTCACTCGTAAACAAATATAAACATAGATATAAAATTAAATATAAAGCACATGTATATAGCGTATTAGAAATGCATGTGAGATGAGCTGATGCTCAGTCCAATAGGAAACAAATGGAAAATGATTGAGTTAGGACTCTACAAAAGTGTCACAAATGGTGCACAAATGCATCTAAATTGTTGGATATTATTGACTTCACCTCCTGCCTACAACTAAAATATTACTTTTTGGGTGGTACAACCCCTTCCCTTCTCCTGCATAGTTACTATGTCATGCAACAGGAGCCAATGTTCTGCTTTCACATTTGTATCAAAAGCTTACAGATCAAATGTACAGTGCTAGAAAAAAATGATCCAAAGTCAAAGGTAAAAGTATCTTTAATAAAAGTCCTACATATAACCTAGTGATATGTTTTAACGTAAAGCTGTTTTCTTTTATTCCAGAGAACCACACACAAATAACTTCACAGCCAGCCAGTGGTATAACCTCACCAAACAACAATACCCCAGGATTAGCACGACGAGAGGGTCCAACAATGCCAACACCCCGTATTGCTGTGACAAGCCCACCGGTGCCAAGACCCATGGGGCCATGCATGGGAGGACCACCGCGGTCTCCGCAGAACTCACATCCTAGGCATTAAATCTTCTGGAACATTACAAGAAGTGTTTGTCTTCCATATCCATTTTTGTAAACAAGAGCCTTTTTCAAAAACAAAGGTTTAAATTCAGATTCAGATTTTAGGATCTTAGAAAATATTTTAGACTTTACTTTTGGATCTGTTGTTTCATAATGCTCCAATAACAAATTTACATAACATAAAACTGACTAGACAACCTAAAATTAAAATTATGTTTTGTAAACCTTGCAGTCTTCTTCTCAGACTATCTATATACAAACAACAACTGTGACCAGTTCCTACAGAAGTCCTGCAAATGATTAGGAACGCTCTACTAGTGTGAAACCATCTGTCAGCCACTTACCGTATGTGATAGAAACAGAAAAAGGGGCGAGATGTGAAACATATATGATAGAACGCAACAGCTTCACAATGTGCTATCTTTAAAGGAATGTACAGAGCTTTCTTTATATATTTTTAGGACTGAAAATACAATTTGGTTAAATGTTTCTGAACAAGGAACATATTAAAAATGCAATTTGTTAAAAAGACAATTAAATGCATGTTAATTACAACTACTATAAATGCCAGCATTTGATATTACCCTATTTTAATTCCCTATACAGCAGCACTCAGTGCATGAGAAGGAGGGGCAGAACATGGGGACAATTAGGTATTAATATATTGGGACATAGAAACCCAATAACTCGACTTTAGCTAAACTATGGCATATTGTCCAGAAAGGTTACAGATTGATTTGAATTTATTCAGGACTCTAGTGAATAAAAATCAGTGGGATTGTCAGTCAGCATGAAAAATGCTCTTATGATAATTGTCAAGTGATTAATTTATCTTGGGTGGATTTATCTGTTGATTGCATGACACCTTTTGAAAAAGAGTTTAAATTACTCCATTACATATACATTTGATTTCATGAAATTTGAAATGAACCTGCATTCAGGAATTAGAAAACTGAACTTGTACCAATTTGTATAGTGTTAAAATTGAGAATATACTGTAGATGAAGTAGATAGGCATGTGAAATCCCTTTAAAGAAGTCAATTAGGATTAGAGATTTAAACTAAATGAGGAACAGGCATTACAAAATACAGTATATGTGACAAACAGGATTTTCTAACCAGAGAAAGGAATACAAAATTATAACTAAAAAAATATTTGTTTGTATTTTAACTACATCTGATTTCCATACCTGAATCTGTTGTAATACCCGATGTAGTCCCCTGCAATGCAGGGCTCCACCTAGGGTTTAAGAGAATACAAAGAACATCTGCCCTCATGTACACACAGCTAATTTCCCAGGATCAGGGGTGGACTGACCATTCAAGCACTCGGGCACTGCCCGAGGGCCCAGGGTCAGTAGGGGGCCCCAAGAAATACCCCTGGTACCTTTTTTATAAGCTTTTTTGAGTGTGGACAAGGACACAGGGGCCCCATGATCCCCTATTGCCCGGGGCCCCATGAGTTGTCAGTCTGCCCCTGCCGAGGATCCATATTATCAGCAAGAATTGCACTTCAGTACACCCACAGTACACACAACATGGAAGTGCAATTATTTTAGAAAATATAAACTGCTAAATACCTTTTCTCATCAGCAGTTAGAGCAGTCTTGTGACTTCAGCAGAGCACTGGTTATAGCTTGTAGGAGGAGTTGTCTTTCTGCTCTAGGAGGATGCAGAATCCCTGACCTCTGTCTGGACAGTGCTGATTGGCCCTGTGTTGAACCCATGCACTCTCTAGCAACATCTAGCACCAAACTGAGTATATGCATGTGGCTACGGGTTCAGTCTGTCTTATTAGGTGGACATTTGAACAAGAGCAGGGGCAGAGAAAACAGGATCAAATGGCCTTTTTACGCAATGCAGAGGATTAACTCCTTAGGTTCCACAGTGAGTATAACACGTATACTTTACTGCATATACAGACTGATTTTACTGTTGTGGGTTTAGTGACACTTTAATGCCTGCCCATTCTGAATGAACAAAGCTTTGAAGGCCCTCTCACACCATGGTGCATTGGTTTTTGGACAAATAACCTGCACTGGGATGTACTGTGCAACAACATGTTAACATATGATGCAGTGCTTTTTTATTACTATTTTTTTTTAACCTGCGCTTCAGCGTATTTCTCAAAAAATGCTACATGTGTCAATGCTGGTGAACTGAAGCCACAGAAAATAAAGCTATTTGCCTTTTCCTTTTTTTTAGACTGTGATGAGCAATACAGTCCAATTTATACTTATGATTGAGTCTTGACACTTCCTAGTAGTATCAAAGCTTGCATGCTACCTTCTGCCTCCCATACATTCCTATTGGCCCATAAATATGACAGGCTTCCTCAATGGCCAATAGCTACTTTAAGCAGAATGCACGCTACATTTTAAAGCTTAGCTTCAAGAAGATATTGAAATAAAACCTATGATGGCAGTTCTGCATTTATTTTTAAAAAGAATCATAAAATCTATTTTAAAATGTAACTCGTATAAACATCCGAATTCAAGTCGATTTTAGGTTCTCGTAATTCCAGGTACAGCAGCAGACTAGGAAAGGGAGGGGCAAAACTCTAGGCCAATCAGAGTTGCTGCAGTCATATGTGCTGAAAATTAATGAGCTGATGTGAGGAGAGAGCAAAGAGACGACCTAATCTATCTGTTGTTGCTCTTTTACTGTTCAATAACAGGCTGGGGCAGGAATGTTATCTAGCTGTGTTGTTTAACTGCAGCAGAGAATACTCAGGTCTTCAAGTTGTCTCTGCTGTCTAGTAGGGCTCTGTTAATTTTAGAATCAGATTGACAGAAATACAACTTCTTTGGTAAGTAAGATAGCTCCCATATATGTATTTACCATATACAGGTACACTATATTGCCAAAAGTGTTGGGACACCCCTCCAAATCATTGGATTCAGGTTTTCCAATCACCTCCATGACCACAGGTGTATAAAATCAAGCACCTAGGCATGCAGACTGCTTCTACAAACATTTGTGAAAGAATGGGTCACTCTCAGGAGCTTAGTGAATTCAAGCGTGGTACCATGATAGTTTGCCACCTGTGCAATAAGTTCATCCGTGAAATTTCCATGGTCAACTGTTAGTGGTATTATAACAAAGTGGAAGCAACTGGGAACAGTAGCAACTTAGCCACAAAGTGGTAGGCCACGTAAAATAACAGAGTGGGGTCAGCGCATGCTGAAGCGCACAGTGCACAGTGCACAGAAGTCGCTAACTGTCTGTAGAGTCAATAGCTAAAGACTTCCAAACTTTGAGTGGCTTTCATATTAGCACAACAACTGTGCATAGAGAGCATCATGGACTGGATTTCCATGGCCAAACAGTTGCATCCAAGCCTTACATCACCAAGTGCAATCAAAGTGTCAGATACAATGTTGTAAAGCTCGCTGCCACTGGACTCTAGAGTAGTGGAGAAATGTTCTCTGAAGTGATGAATCACACGTCTCTGTCTGGCAATCTGATGGATGTTTCTGGGTACTTGCCTGACTGCATTGTGCCAAGTGTAAAGTTTGGTGGAGGGGGGATTATGGTGTGGGGTTGTTGTTCAGGGGTTGGGCTTGGCCCCTTAGTTCCAGTGAAGGGAACTCTTAATGATGTTAGCTTACCAAGACATTTTGGACAATTTCAAGCTCCTATCTTTGTAAGAACAGTTTGGGGATAGCCCCTTCCTGTTCCAACATGATTGCATACCAGTGCACAAAGCAAGTTCATAAAGACATGGATGAGCAAGTTTGGGGTGGAGGAACGTGACTGTCCTAACTTCAATCCAACAGAACACCTTTGGTATGAACTAGAGCCGAGACTGTGAGCCAGGCCTTCTCGTTTGACATCAGTACCTGACCTCACAAATGTGCTTCTGGAAGAATGGTCAAACATTCCCATAGACACACTCCTAAACCTTGTGGACAGCCTTCACAGAAGAGTTATAGCTGCTATTAGTTAGGTGGGCTAACTCAATATTGAACCCGATGGACTATGGCTGGGATACCATTAAAGTTCACGTGCGTGTAAAGACAGGCGTACCAATACTTTTGGCAATATAGTGTATGTATGTCTTTGATGTTCCGCTTTATATCTGTGATAAGGGAGTAACAGTGGTACTGGCAATGACCAGGCCCCACCAAGCATTTGCTGTAAGGTGTTCTCTGCCATTCTGTGTTTGAAAACTGTAGCCTAAGACATCCTTGAAATTTTAAGTTCATTGTAAATAGAATGATAGGGAGGGTTAGGCTACAGAAGAGAGCCAGAGGTGAGGGAGGAAGAAGTCAACTTTGTAATCCTGCTGTAGTGTAAGCTGAAGGAGTGTTGACCTGCTAACCAGATCTTTGATGGGGAAAAGTAAATGATAGAGGAGACTCCTAGAACTCCTTGGGCTTTTATGTACACCCAGTACACAATAATGTAATGCCATTGTACAACATTTTAGCTCTCATTGGCCTCTCTGCCTATCTCAGATTTACTTTGTGTCTTGTATTCAATGTATTTCACTGCTTGGAGTTCACTTCTTATATTGCATAGTCTAAGAAGAAGCAAAATTTCTTGTATTATGTGTACAGTATAATATACTGGCCACACATGGTCAAATCTTTTGTCAGTATGATGAATGATGTAATATTTTCTAGCTTTTCAAATCATCATTAGTGATATAGGGGCTATAATGCCTTCCCTGCAGCTGGAGTGCTTTCCCCTTCTGAAATAGTTTCTGTGCTTGAATAATAATAATTTATGTTGTAGCATTTATGCTAGTGTAAAACTGAAATCGTCATTTGGATTATTTTGTCATTTGTCATCTATACATGATCCTATTTTGAAAAGCAGTACTGAAGTCTTTATATTACCGTCTGGAAAATTATCCAGTACATGACCAGCAATATTTTACGTTAAAGTCACTCTCCAATTTACCTTCATTTTTTTAAATATACAGTATAAACAATAAAGACATAAAACATCAATCATTTAAAATTAGCTGTTTATACTGTAGATTATATGGGAAAGCCATGTAATTCCTATGTAGAGAGGTAATGACACCCTAGTACTATTAACTGTAGTAAGATCTCAGGTTTTGACAGAGATTCTGAAGTTGTTTGACCTTCATATAGGAGGGAAGCAAAGTCGCTCAAGATTCCACTATATAATGTACTTCAGCTGCCTCATGATTCAACCACTATTTTTTGCACCAGAAAGACAGATGGTCCAATTCATTTAGGTGAAAAGCACGGTGGTCTTAATATTTTTTTAATGTTAATTCTGACATATTGTATTGCAAATAAAAAGGTGGATAATAGGATTTTTGTACTGTACTTACCTTAAAATCCATTTATTGAAGTTTATTGGGGAACACAGGAATTCAGAGACTGTTGGCATATACTGCTGGCTTTGGATGAATTGGACACTGGCAAATAAAAAAATTGGGGCCAGCTCACTATAGTCCTTCCTACCCCCAGCATGCCTCAATTTTGGCAAAGCAGTACCTAGAGCATAATTATAGACACAGATGGGTTGAACCTGTGTCCCTCAATAAACACCAGCAAATGGATTTATGGTAAGTACAAAAATCCCATTTTCTCTCTTGTTCGTTGAGCTATGCAGACATTCAAAGTCTGGTGAGACATCCAAAACAAGTGTAACTGAAGGGTAGGCACCAGCTACAAACACTAACAGGCCCACCAAAAACAACAGAACTGTGGGCTACTTACTACCTAAAGAGTCACCTGAAGTACACCTGAAAATGGCATCAGAAAAGACCTAAACATACATCTGGTAAAATTTAGTGAATGTGTGAACCAGACCACGTAGCATCCTTTCAAATTTCAGTTGCTTGATGCTCACAGTACCCACAGTTTCAATAGAAGACAGGTAAGGGTGGATCTTGATCCTTCAGACCATAAGCCTTAATTGTTTGTCTGAGCCACCAATTAATGCTAACACAAGAAGCAGGTTCCGCTATGGTAACCCTCAAGAATGACAAAGTCAGTTGTGAAAGCAGTGGCTGTGAGATAGACAAACCACATCCAAGCAATAGAAGATCTCTTTCTGATGAGCTGGAGCCAGACACAGAGACAGCAGGACAATGTTCTGGTTAGAGGTAAAGGGTGAAACTATCTTAGGAAGGAAAGAAATGCTGGGCCCAAAGCCATCTTGTGCCTGTAAGACCAAAAAGGGTTCTTTACATAATAAAGCCACCTCATATATTCATCTCGCTAAAGTGATGGCAACAAGAAATGCAAACCTTATGCATATGAGTAGACCAATTCAAAGTGTGGTTTTTGAAGAGTTGGGAGAACCAAATTGAGATCACCAGTGTCCCAGGGGGAACGTACAGGGAAAGTCATACGGGAGACGCCCTGTAAAATGCCCTCATTTAAGATTGGGATGCCAACAGTCTCTGGAAAGCAAGACTGCAAGCACAGAAACATGACTTTTGATGGTACTCATGCCAGATGCTGGTCCAGGCCCATCTGTTAAAAAGGCCATAATTCATTACAGAAAATTATTTTGTCTCGCAACAAGCTAAGAATACATTCCATGTACTGTGATAGACTTTGACATTTTTTAGACTTTTAGCTTTTAACATTGTAGGAATCACCAATTCAGAGATGCCTCTGTCTCTTAGAACCTGGGTAATGCGGAGCAGCGCTAGGTAAACTGGTCAGCAATGCCATTAAAGCAAATGATTGAGAATCAATCCTTGAGACAAAGTGCCAGTTAATCCAGAAGATCCCGCAGGAGATCTGCCAGGAGACTGATCAAATTAAAGTATCACATCCGTCTGGGCCATTCCAGAGCTATGAGAATAACTAACATGCCCTCAAAATCACACCTGCAAAGCAGATGAGGCAGGTGTTTCAGGGGAGGATAGCCATAGATCAGAGTGTATTGATCCCACCGAGCCACCAGAGCATCCGCTGCTTTCATTGGAGGATCCCTGTATCTGGAGACCATCCTGTGCAATTTGTTGTTGAACCTGCAAGCAGAATGTCAACATCCACATGAGACACAGGTCCTGTGACATCTCTGGGTATATGCACCACTTTTTTGGGCTCAGGCACTGCCATATCAGTAATTCTACTTGCCACTTGTCCATGCCTGGGATGTAAATGGTGGACATGGATGGAATGTGAAATTCTACTCATGACAGGATTCAGATTCAATGACCCTTCAGTCAGTCCAAATGGCAGGGCTACAAACTGAAAATGCTGAGAATCACAGTAAACTGAAGTACACTCTCATGTGTTGGAATACTGGGACATCTATATATGTGTCCTTGATGTCTGCAGACTTTAATAGACCTGGTGGATTCCATACAGAATGTCAGGGCTAGAATGTAAGCAATTAGGGCCTTGAGATCAAAGCTGGATGCCACCTTTTGATTTGGGAACAGTGAACAGGTTGGAGTAAGAAGACTTTTCTGCCACAGGGACTGGGGTGGTGACAACCTGCTCTGGAAGACTTTCCAGAGCTGTATGGGGTCTGCTAACCTGTGTTGTGAGGCAGGTAGGAGGCTAGGAGCAGGTAAGTGGCTGGTTGCAAAACTCTAGCATTTAGCCGCTGGAAATCACCTCCCAACCCTATGCTCCTGAATTTCAGTTTGTCCAAGTGTCTGCAAAGGCTAACAGATGTCACCTCATTTTGTAAGTGGGAGCATCCTCTCATGCTGAAGAGGATTAATCTGAGGACTTGGGAGACTGGATTTAGCTTTAGAAGTAGTGGCTTGGGAGTAACACCTCTGATGGCGATTATGTCTTCCCAGACTTAGCCTTAGTCTTCTTCTAATGTGAAAGATAGGCATTCTTACTCCCAGTAACATTGTTGACCAGATAGTGTCTGGCAAACTAAGGTTACTACCAAAAAGGTTGCATTGCAGGGCATACTCTAGAAAGGGCCCCCAATCTCTTGTCTAAGGGGTCCTAAAGACAGGTACATCCTCCACAAGGGTCAGGGTCAGCAAATAAATTTGCATGACTATTCTCCTGAATCCTCCTGAAATGGAACCTGAGGGGGGGTCAAGCTTGATGGGGCTAAGGAACATTTAGATGAGGGCATAGACTCTAGCACAGGTAAAAATTTCAGGCTGTCCGTGTCTAGTATCTTAGTAGGCATTCTGCAGGCAACACTGGAACGGTTAGTGGAGTTGTGAGCAGGGGGCACCCAGGTACCCAGGCTCCCCTGCATCTACGATCAGACATATTGCACCACACCTCTGAAAGTAATGTAGTTCAGGGTACAAGGTTAGGCCTAAAATATTCATAAAACCATCTGCTGGGAAGCAGGAGAAGGGCAGGTAGCCAAAGGTGATCATGTCACTGTAGGCAAGCAGCAAAGATGAATGGAGTAATGCTGGCCATACACATGAAGATTTTTGGATGAGAATATTCATACAAAAAGTCAGATGAAAATTATTTG